CATCGATAATGAACTTCTGTAGCCTCAGTTTATTAAGACAGGGCCTGGCATTCTTCGCGGCCAGTTGGCGGGCCTCTCATTTATAACATTGCTGGCACCGCTGAATGAAACCGAGGAGGCGATATTTCCTTTTATATAAAACGATTACTTCACGGAAAATGCTATATTGTTTATCCCAAAAGCCGCCTTTTAAAAATGTCTATTCTGTGCGCTTCTGGGGCCCGGAGACAACAGACAGCGAAGTATGCAGACAAAATTCTTGGACCTTCGCAGGTCCCCGGGATTTTCTCCCGCGGATTTCGAATCTGCCCCCCCCCCCATGCACACCCCCTCCCCCCACCCCGCCAGACCGCCCCGCCGCTCCTCCCGCCCTCGATAGGCAGCCCACCCCGTCCACAACTGCAAATAACTGCAGCGATAACAGATTTTTTTCCACCAACTGCAGGAGATAGTGCTAATCTTTTAATAAAAGATCCCATTACAATGGATCTGTCTGGACGGACTATAATAGACCCGAAATACAGCCGTGCTAATATTAGCGGACAGTTGTGTGGGTGCCTCCCCGGCGCGCCGAGCCCCCTCGGAACGTGGGCAGGGAGCACAAAGCCCGCGGCCGCCGCACCTGCACCGCGCGCTCCCGGTGCGGAGGCCGCAGGAGACGGTGACCTCGCCGCGGCCGGTCGCTGTGCCACTGCGGTCCCGAAGGCCCCGCGGGCGGGGGGGGGCGCTTCACTTCAGACGGTTCCGGGACTCCACATCCTCCTTAATCTTTGCAGACGGACTCCTTCTCTCTTCCCTCCTGGCTCTTCCCCTCCCGTCCACCCACCCCGCCGCCGCGCTCCCCCTCCCTCCCTCCCTCGCCCCCCGCCCCGTCCTCTGCCGCCTTCCTTTCTCTCCCTCCGCGGAGGCGGCTCCAGCGAATTGGGTGAGTGCACTCTAACGGCGGACGCTCAGGAACCGGTCCTGCAGGCCGAACACGCTCCAGTGCACGTCTCCCAGTGGGATACACTTCTTCTCGGGGGACAGGGACAGAGAGCGCAAATAGAGACAGCTGGAGGGAGCATTGTTTCCCCGTTGTTAGCTCTCCGCACACACACATTTATTTTATAAAAAAAAAAATTTAAAGGGGAAGGAGAGAGAGAGAAAGTAAAAAGAAACTCTCTCTTATTTGTGTGTCTCCGCCACAGATATTTCTTTTTGGGAAAACAACAAATTCAGGGGGAGGAGAAGAGAGAAAAAAGAAAAAACACTACACTACTTGGGGTGTGTCCTCCACAGAATATCCCTTTTGGGTGAGACAACAATCGAAGGGGGAGGGAAGAGAGAGAGAAAGTAATTAACATTCCATTTTTTTGTGGTTCTCCC